TCGACCTTACGGTCGAGCACCTGGACTACCGTTCTGTACTGGTAGCCTCCTGGCTCGTTGTCCGCCAGGTTCCACCAGTCCTTCGGCAGATCATCCAGGGTGGCGAACTTGTCCCGCCCGCCCTTGCTCAACGGAAGCGTGTGCTGCTGCATCGCGGCGCGTCCTGCGGCTCCTGAGACGCCTGCCTGGACGCCTGAGCTGCCTATCTGGACACTGAACGCGGCGAAGGGGTTGGACATGGAAGCCCCGGAGGGCGCGGCCCAGTTGGCAGGCAAGGCCGGCGTCCCTCCTGAGGTCGTCAGGTTGTGGACCATGTCGCAGCTGGCTCCCTTCTTGCACGACCCATTCTTGGAGAAAAAGGGGCAAACAGTGCCTGGTGGCTTTGCTGCGCCTTTGGCCGCAGCCTTAGGCTTTGCGCTGGCCTTAGCCTTGCCTCCTCCCTTCCCCTTGCCCTTGCCTTTCGCCGTGGCAAAGGTTTGGTCACCCTTCTTGGCCGCGAGAGCTTTTCTGCGAAGCTCCTTGTCGTGGCTGTACGGGCAGGCATCCCCCTTCGGGCAATTCCCGTGGTCGCGAAAGTGGAAGCAGATCTTCTTGTCCGCTCCTTTGCCAGCTCCCTTCGACGCAGCGGCAAACGTCTGATCCGCGCCAGCCTTGGCCGCGGCAGCTGCTCCCTTCGCAGCAGCCTTAGCGGCGGCCTTGAGGCTCCGAATCTCCTTCTGAGCCTCGGCTAGCGCGACCGACGGGTCCGCGCTTGGAGAGCCGGTCGTGGAGTAAACAGAGTGGGAAACAGCACGGTGCGCTGCTTCCCTCTGTTCGTACTCCAAGACGACCTTGTGGCTCTCCTCCCAAGTCTGCGGCCCTCTCAGCCCGCCGTCCTTGGGGTCGCCGGGCCACAACCGCTTGTCGTTACGTATCTCCTTTTGGAGATACGGGGGCATCTTGCGGAGGTACGAGAGGTACAACTCTCGTGGGGTCTTCCCAAGACCCACCGCCTCAAGGTCCGCGATCGACGCCTCAAACAAAGGCTCGAATTGGTGGCCTGTGAGCTTGCCCTTAGCGAGGGAGGCATGCTCACCATCCACGCGGACTTCTCTTTCCTCCCGCGATTCCCCGAACATCAAGTGCTTGTTCTTGATGCGGTCGTACACTGCCTGTGGGTCGGAGAGAACCTCTCCCGACTTCCACGCTGCGCGGTAGGCGTTCGTGTACGTCTTCATGCGCGAGCCGCGGCAGCGCCCGCGTAGCGCTAGCAGCTTCTCGCGCGCACTCATACCGCGACAGTTGTTGGCGAGCGCGCAGACGTCCTCGAACTCCTCGTAGAACAGGACAACGTCTCGCGCGTCCGACTTGTCGTCGGTCAGCGTCGGCCACGTGAGGTCAGTTTTGACCGTCGTTATGGAGCTTTGCCCGCCCCTCTGCGCTAACGCTTCTTTCAGCGCTTCAGTTTGGGCGGCGAGTGCGGCGGCGAAATCGCCCGCCGGGTTTTGGGACCCGGTCTGCGAACCTCCGCCGTCTGAACCTCGCTTCAGGGCTTCTATCTCCATCTCCAGCGCCGCGAGCTTTGCGCGCAAAGGGGAATCGCCGTCCGTCGCGCCCAGGTCACGGGCCGCGGAAGGACCACCTGCAACCTCGGCAGTGTGCAAACCTCCACGGTCCAAACCTAACCCCAACCCACTTGCAGTCGCAGGCTGTGGGAGCCCTGGGGAACGCGGCCCCACGGCTTCAACTGGCACATCGGACGGGGAGCTCCAAACCTTCTCTTGGCTCGAGCTTTCTTTTCCCCCTAGCGCGAGGATAAGCTCCCCGATGCATTGGATTTCACGCTGAATCTCCTCTGCGTCTTCGGGGTCCTCGCCACCGCGCAAAGCCGCGACCGAGAATCTGGTCCGCAGCCGACGGACCATCTTTGTCGGATGCCAGTCCCCGCCGATCTTGGAGAACTCATCCGCGAGGAGGGTGGCTTTGGTGCTTAAGGCGTCAAGGTCACGGGAGCTCACCGTGACTCCATGCGCTTTGAGCGCGAGGACTATCCGCGAAACGCGCGTCAAGTAGTCCGCGACCGGTTCCTGGTCTGGACGGAAAATCGCGCGCAGCTCCGCCTGCAAGCCCTCTGCGGTGCCTGGCACTGAACCGCTGTCGACGGCGGACCGGACGGTCCCGCCGGGCGGGACCCTGGTGCCGTAGCAGGGACATAGGCAGCACCGGTAGGGACCATGGCCAGCTCCCTAGCCGCGGCGCTGACGTCCACCCGCGGCGGACTGTCGCCTCCAGCGCCCGAGGCCTCAGGGACTAGCTCGGAGTCCTCTTCTTCTTCCTCCTCATCCTCGTCCTCGTCTTCGGCGTCATGGAGGAACTTCATGACTTTCCGCCAGAGAGCCGCCTCTTGCTCTGGCGTAGTACTGATCCCATCCCGCTTGGACAACGGACGGCTGCCAGTCTCCCTACGCCACTTAAGCCAAGCGACGTAGCTCATCCGCTCGGGATAGGGAACGTCTCCACCCTCGATCGCTTCGAGGAGGGTGACGCCCTCGGCCTGACCTGCAGCCTCTGCGGACATCGCCGCGCCTTGGTCAGCAGGCCGCAGGCGTGGCACACGAAGCGCCGCGCCTTGGTTAACAGGCCGCAAGCGTGGCACACAGTCCACGCGTCCAGGTCACGGACCGCGACAGACAAGCAAAGCAATGCTTGCCCACTCGGGCCGTAGGCACAAGAGCTGTAATTTCCCAGAACAGCCCCCAATTGTGAAGTCGACCAGCACTGGACTTGCACTAAGCCAATGCAATCACAGCCCGGTCACGCTGTTTTACGACTTCGCGAGTTCAAGCACTTGTGCAGCTACGCCTGAGTGCGTCCGGTCGGACCGCACAGCAACCTAAGAGCTACTGTACGAAACTACCGTGCTCAAAGGCACAAGCTCGGTACTTGAGCCAAAACATTGGCATTGTTACGAATTGCAAAACTACACATGCAAAGGAAAACAACACGCTGCACTAGCACTAAGCAAGCACTCCATGCATGCTTTGACCTGCTCACAATACATATACATATACATATATATATATATATACACATACATATAACTATGTGCAGGTACATATATATATATATACACTCTTTCAAGGGATTTCATAAGGGTACCTCATTCCCTCATTCCCTACTCCCTATGAAGAACCAGCCCTAAGCCCTAAACCCTCAACCCTGAACCCTGAACCCTAAACCCTGAACCCTAAACCCTAAACCCTAAACCCTAAACCCTCAACCCTCAACCTTCAACCCTAAACCAGCCAGCCAAGGTCATGGAATGGGTCGCAGTCGTCCGAGGCTCGCTCCTCCGACTCTGGGCATCGGCAGGGCGCCCCGCGCCAGGAGGCTAGGCTTACAGCATGGGGGTTTAGGGTTTAGGGTTTAGGGTTTAGGTCGGCTTAGGCGTAGGGCCAGGGTGTAGGGTTCAGGGTTTTGGGGTTTTGGGTTCAGGGCTGAGGGTTTATGGCTTGGGGGTTGGGGGGGGGGGGGGGGGGGGGGGTTATTTTTGACCTTTAAAACCTGGACTAACATTCAGGGTTTCGGGTGCAGGGTTCCCGAAGAGCCCACTCAAGCAGGGTTAACCCTAAACCCTAAACCCTAACAATCCTGAAAGCTGAGGAAGGCGCCAGCCCAACAGCCCTCTGGCACCATCATTGCGGACTCCATGCGGACCACCCTTGGTGGGAGATGGCCCCCAAGATCCTGGGTTTAGGGTTTAGGGTTTAGGGGTTAGGCTTTCTTCTGGCTGGCTCTTAGGACTTTAACCGCTTGGGTTTTTGTAGAAACTACAATAAGGAGCCCAAGAGTTTAAGCTTTTTTGAAGGGGTTCAGAAGTCAGCTAAGGATCATGATCCGAAATATTCCCGCAAGGTGCTCTCGTGCAGAGTTCATGGCATTCGTGCAGGCCCTGACCAGCTCCGAGTTCCAAGTCTCCATGCCACTGAACCAGAGTGGAAGGAATCTTGGGTGCTGGGTGGGTAACCTTTAACCTGTTTTGGGTACTATAAATCCCCTTAAAACCTAAAGGTTAACCTGTTTTGGGTACTATAAATCCCCTTAAAACCCAAAGGTTATAACCTCTTTTTCCCCCAAAAAAGCTCTCAGCACCTAAGGAATCGTGGCTACGCTTTCATCGTGGTACCCGACGTGGCCTCTCTCCGCTTCTTGGTCCGCGCCATGTGGGGCCAGTGCGTCCCAACCAGGAAATCCGAGCGTCCCCTCATGCTGCAGCCCGGAAACTGGGAGCAGCTGCTCCAGGACCATGGAGGCCTCTCGTAGGGTTTAGGGTTTAGGGTTTAGGGTTTAGTGTTTAGGGTTTAGGGTTTAGGGTTAGCGGAGAGGAATGAGAAGCTGATGGGGCAAGCCGTCAGTATGTGCTGAGCCCATACCAGTCTTCCACGTTTCATTGGCGGATTGCCAGCTTGTTGACCCTAGGGTCCAATTAGCACAGGGCAGCCAGCAGTGCCCTAGTTATATGAATAGCCCGTGGTGAGGTTTCACAGAATGATGCATGAGAGTCGCAGAACCTCTTGATGCAAATACAGTCCCAATTTCAGGGGCCTTCGGATTTGGCAGTTTCTGATTCAGCCCAAACCCTAAACCTATCTCCCATCCCCATTCCCTGAACCCTACATCCCAAACCCTAAACCCTAAATCCCCAAACCCTAAATCCTAAACCCCTAAACCCTACATCCCATTCCCTAAACCCTACATCCCAAACCCCAAACCCTAAATCCCTAAACCCTAAATCCTAAACCCTAAACCCTACATCCCATCCCTATTCCCTAAACCCTACACCCCAAACCCTAAACCCTAAATCCCTAAACCCTAAATCCTAAGCCCTAAACCCTACATCCCATCCCTTCCCTAAACCCTACACCCCAAACCCTAAACCCTAAATCCCTAAACCCTAAATCCTAAATCCCTAAACCCTAAATCCTAAACCCTAAACCCTAAACCCTAGAAGAGCACTTCAGGATGACCTGGGGCAGTTTCGGCTGCGCTTGGGCGCCGAGGCACCGGTGTGTGTGTGTGTGTGGGTTTAGGGTTTAGGGTTTAGGGTTTAGGGTTTAGGGTTTAGGGTTTAGGGTTTAGGGTTTAGGGTTTAGGGTTTAGGGTTTAGGGTTTAGGGTTTAGGGTTTAGTGGGAATTGAGGGTCCTTCTTATATACCCCATTATACCCCAGAAACTACTATAAGCCTTGCAAGCCCTGCAGGCTTATGACAAACCCTACAAACCCTCGAAGCCCTGTCAACCGCTATGTAATGCTTTATGAGTCTTATAGGCCCATATCAAGCTCCTCTTAGGAACCCTAAACAAGGAGAGGAACCAGGGGGGTGCCCTAGGAGAGGAACCATGGGGGGTGCCCTAGGAGACCTCGATTTCCATGACGAGGTGCTTTTCATACGATTGCTTGGAGGTTCGTAGTAACTAATTATGACTGTACTCTAACCCACTTATAAGCCCCTCAAGTGCCGTCATATGGTTATAAGTACAGTCATAAGTACAGTTATAGTTAGTTACCATGTACCATGAACCTGCAAGTGGGCTTGAGGATATCCATGCCGTCTGTGGCTCGTAAGCGCAACGCCGAAGGGCTTCAGACATAGGCCTTCAGACAGGTGTAGGGTTTAGGGTTCAGGGTTTAGGGTTTAGGGTTTAGGGAGTTTAGGGTTTATGGCGCGGGTTCTTCAACTTCAGAAGGAGATCCTGAAAACAGTTGTGGAGCAACCTCCACCACGTCCCACTCTCGCGCTGGAAATATAAATACGCGTATACCTATAGGGTTTTGGGTTTAGGGTTTCGGGTTTAGGGTTGAGGGTTTAGGGTTTAGTGCAACTACAATATTTTGAAACTATATCTATATAGTAAACACATTCAACAAACTTTTTGCATCGTATGCTACGGGCCGCTATTTATTCCGACGCACGCTCGAATGATTTATGTATACAATACATATATATATATATACACATATACTCCTATATGCATGCAAAAAAGCGAATAACAAATAACCAACTAAGAAACGCAACTCCAATATCAACAGACATCAATAAGCATGTGTATATATGTATATATAGGTATGTATGTATATCTATTTCTGCAAAATACATACATATAAATTATGTGATATGGTAACACATAGAATTATTAACATTCAACTCTAGCACAGCTAAATAACCGCATCGTTGTAGAACTATGTAACTACATGGAGGTTCAGGGTACTTAGTAACTAATTATAACTGTACTTATAACTGTACTTATAACTGTACTTAGAAGCCCCTTAAGTGCCTTAATATGGTTCTAGGTACAGTTATAAGTACAGTTATAAGTACAGTTATAACTACAGTTATAAGTACAGGTCTAGTTAGTTACTAAGTACCATGAACCTCCAAGTACATGGTCGCTCAGGGTCTCGAGGCCGTGGGGGGGGGGGGGGTTGGAGCCCATGCGTGTCTGAAGGTGGTGAACTTGAGATAGGGTTTAGGGTCTGGGTTTGGGGTTTAGGGTTTAGGAAAAAGGGTTTAGGGTTTAGGGTTTGGGGTTTGGGGTTTGGGTTTGGGGCTTAGGGTTCTGGCCTTAGCGAATTGGTGTTGATATTTGTTGGTCAGCAGGGCAAGCAGCACCATAGAACACACATCTGGAGCCCAATACCCCTTCATTAAGGAATAGGCCTTGGGGGATCCTAATATGATTCAAGGTCTATTCCATGGTTAAGGGGTAAAGTGGGTTCCTTGGGCACGTCCGGAGCACTTGGAGGTTCATGGGTACTTATAAACCTCATTATGAATCTACTCATAACCTACTTAGAACACTTGGGTGGCTTATAGGTACACTTATAACTGGGCTTATAAGTACCTAAACCCTAAACCCTAAACTGCCCTAAACCCAAAACCCTGAACCTCCACACAGGCGGCCCGACGCCAGCTGTCTCGCGAAGCCCCTCCTGAGTGGAGCCAGGACTCAGTTTCGAAGCCTTGATGCAGCGGGTTTAGGGTTTAGGGTTTAGGGTTTGAGGTTTAGGGTTTAGGGTTTAGGGTTTAGGGTTTGAGGTTCCCCCCCCTCCAACAAAAGAAGAGAAACAGGGTCCACAAAGCCCCCCAAAGCCCCGCAAGCTTAACATGTATTTGGGGCCGGAAACAGGCGAGGCCCCGGCAAGAGTGATCTGCAGGACTGTTTGCATGTTTGTTCTACATTGTTGATGCATTCCCTGGCGTCACGACTCGAATGTTTTCAGGGCTCGTCAATACCTGTATGAAGAATCAACTTCACTTCTGACGCATGCCAACCTGCCTTTTGCAAGTGCCAGCTGTACCTTTTTTTCAGGCTTGCTGAGTGACGAGATCAACGTTTAATGTAAGTGCAATGCCCAAGAATGCGTTGCTTTTTGGCTCAAGCTATCTCACGCTCTTTACGGCAGTGTGTTGTGGCGACTCAAAACTTGCAATGTTTGTGAAAACCTTGTTCGCTCTCCTGGTCGTTTCTGGCCTGGGCACTCGCGTCACCCGCATTCAGGAGGACAGGGCCTCCCTCTAAACCCTCAACCCTCACACCCTACACCCTAAACCCGAAGCCTATGTCCCCGAAATCCAGTGTTGAAGCTTTGTGGGACAGAGTTGCACCGTTGCCCTTCCGTTTTTGGGTTTAGGGTCTAGGGTTTAGGGTTTGGGGTGCCCCTGCCCTGCAGTCCACTACCAGGTGGGGACCATCATACGTCGTGAGCTTGTGAAGTCCCCAAGGCTAGGCTGTAACTCGTAAACAGCATCCCTAAACCCTAAACCCTAAACCCTTCATATTCTTCGAGGAGTACTCGTCTCTCTGGGTTCTGTGGCTTTCTAAGTCCATATGCTCCTAGGGCTGATTTTCTACGAGTTGCTTGAGAGCCCCCCCCCCCCCCCCCCCCCCCCCCCCCCCCCCCCCCACCCCCCCACCCCCCAAAAAAAAAGAATAATTATATATATATATATATATATGAGGCCGGCACCTTTAGGGGTTATGCGTCTATTGCTTCTTACTAGCTCTTGTGAAGTAAATTTCGCATAGGGTTTTTTATAGACACATAATGTATAATTTTAAATCCAGAAGTTACTGGACCTAGTTTCTCATTGCTTTATAGCTCATTCTACTTAGGTTTTCGGCTCTAGGGTTTACGGTTTAGGGTTCAGGGTTTAGAGTTTATGGTTCAGGGCTTAGGGTTTTGGTTTAAGGTTGAGTGTTGTAGGGTTTAGGGATGGTTTAGGTCTTAATGTTTGTTGAAGCGGTCGCAGGCTCTAGGATTTGATCGTTCAACAATTTAATTTACGGTTCATGGACAGATACAATGGGTTGCAAAAGGCTTTGGGGCCTGACATCCCTAAACCCTGAACCCCGAAAGGTCTAGGGTCTTTTGGGTTTTGTGTTTTTTAGAGCTGTTATGGCTTGGGGTTTTTTGGGGCTTAAGGGTCTTTAGGGCTGATGTGTCATGGACCTTTACGTATAAAGTGGGAACCCCTTTTTTGTCAGGCTTAAAACTTGTCTGTGCAAGTAGTTAAAACACAGACTAAGCCGAAAATCAAACCTGTCGTAAATTGCTCCTCGCAAATTCCCTTGAACACAAAACCAAATGTAAACATTAACTTCTGAAACACGGAAAAGACCTTAGAAAGACATTCTCAACCAAAAACACAAGTTTTACTCTGCCTTACAAACACTTCAATCCAAAGTCCAAACCAAAGTAAACACAACTTGTGTCGCCCTGAAGTTTAAGACACGCTACGAATCAAACATTGAATCTTGCCTGCGCAGACAGTCGTAAACAAAAATACGAAATAAAAGGTGAGCACGAAAACCTGCCCTTACAAAACACATAAGTAGTACGTGACATATATTTATGTGTCAGTGTATATTTATATATATATATATGACATATGGTTGAAATTTTCAAGACATATATCGCCCAAAGCACTTGTTGTACAAGCTGGCACAAAGTGGGCGAGGCTGCTGGTCAATCAAGGGTAACTATATAACAAATACAAAAAAACAGGAGTTCTTTCATTTCCTATGAGAAGATAGAGGAGCTATTTCATCTCCTGCTCAGAGATCGAAGAACTCGCGTTTTAATCTCCCGACACTAGGTAGGGGAGCTCACATTTTTACCATCTCCTATCTTCTGTCTCAGTCTCGCAATTGGTCATGAGAGACCTCCTCTAGCTTTGCGCCGGAAAAGAGAGAGAGTTCTCTACTATGTCCATTACATACGGAAATCACGCGCCGACTCTCACACTGGCACAAGGTGGGCGAGGCTGCTGGTCAATCAAGTGTAACCATTTCACAAATACAAAAACCAAGGTTCTTTCATTTCCTATGAGAATATAGAAGAGCTATTTCATCTCCTACTCAGAGATAGAAGAACTCTTTCGCAAACGAATAAGAGCGCTTTAATATCCCGACACGAGGTAGGGGAGCCCACATCTCAACCGTCTCCTATCCTCCATCTCAGTCTCGCAAAAGGTCATGAAAGACCTCCCAAACACAACTTGTGGTGCCCTGAAGTTTAAAACACGCTATGAATGAAACATTGAATCTTGCCTGCGCAGACACTCGTAAACAAAAACCCGAAAGAAAAGGTGGGCGCGAAAACCTGCCCTTACAAAACACATAATTAGTATGTGACATATATTTGTATATCAGTGTATACATATATATATATATGTGGCAAAGACCTTTAGGGTTTATTTGGTGATAGGGTGGAACAAAGAGGCGGCCAATTAGCTGCTGAGCACTCGCAGATCGCAGCGCAGGTTGGGTCTACGTCTATGTATGTCACAGACATGTATGACTACCGATTTGTACTCTAGCATGTCTTCCGCAAGATGTTTCGATTGCTTCTCTCAGCCTTGTTTTCTCATCCCGCTTGTTTTCCTTCATGTGATATTTGCCTTTCTCCCTCACTCGCCGTCCTTTCTTTCCTTTCCCCCCTTCTCGCCCCCATCCCTCCTCCCTTTCCTCCTCTCGCTTCCTTTTTTTCTTAGAATCCGAAAATGGCCCAGGGAGAACAATAGTCAGAGAATAAACCAAGGAAGAGAGAGAGAGAGAGAGAGAGATGAACAAAAGAGGTCCTTCCTCCTCTTCGTTGGCACGCTCTCTCGTTTTCTCTGTTTCTCCATCTCTTGCTCTTTCAAGACCCTTTCCACCCCTTCGAAGAAGAACAACAATGACAAAAGAAAACACGACAGGGAATGCAAGAGGTTGAGGGAAATGAGAAGGAGCAAGGAGAACTAACTCCTCCTCCTCCTCCTCTCTTGTCTCTTGTCATTGCCTTCATTGTCCTTTCTTACGCTTGACTTTCTTCAAGTGTCCATTGAAGTGGCCAACTAAAAAGTAAGGGAAGGAAGAAGAGGAAAGGAACACGGGATGGGGACAAGAGAAGGAAGATGAAAATGTGGGGACATTGCTTGCGGTTGACTATTTGCAGATCAAAAGAGGAGATACATGGAGAAACATAAAAGAGAAGCAAGAAAGTAAAGGTCAAGAATAGGAAAGAAAAACAGCGAGACAGAGAGAGAGAGAGAGAGAGCGAAAGAAAGAATGAAAGAAAGAAAGATCAAATAAACACAGAAAGAAAGGAGATGAAAGAAGGAAGAAAAAACAAAAAAAGAAAGAGAGAGAGGGAGAGTGAGAGAGAGAGAAAAAGATAGAGCGAGAAAGAGAGAAGAAAGAAAAGAGCGAGAGAGAGAGACAGGTGGACAGGCAGACAGACAGAGATTACGAGACCAGAAGGGATAAAAACAATATGGAAAAGAAGAACTGTAAGCTGGTGCTAGATGAGAAAGTGCAAATTCCTTTCCCTACCTTCGTCTTCCCTCTGCTCTCTTCATCTCTTGTTCTTCTCTTGCCTCTCAGTTAGGGAGGGTGTGAGAGGGAGGGAAGGGTAGGACATGCAACGAGGAGAGGAAAAGGGTGAAAGCAGATGAGAGAATAGAGTGGGCGTGCCCCAATAATTTATATTCTATAGTTTCTACACTTCTGGCGCCATAGAACAATAACATTGTGGAGTATGGAATGGGTGTGTCAGGGCCCCCACCCCCCCACCCCCCGGATCCACCCTTTTTATGCCTTTCTGCCTCCCGAAGCCCCACCTTGACTCTTTACCGGACCCAACTCACGATACAATCTCAAATATAACCTCATAGTGTTTACACATTCCTCCGGCTCCCTGCGCACACGTCAGGAAGCTCATCTTGAATCACGTGAAGCCTTCTTAGCCCGAAATATAGCAGCGAAGTATCCACAACACACTTCTTGTCAAAACAAATTTCCTTCCAGTGCACAAATACAACCGCAAAGTATCCACAATACCTACTGCGCCTGTATGTTTCGTCTACAGAAGCGGCGGATCTATCGGAACTGTCTCAGGGCAATTCATGCCATACCACAACGCCCCTAAGCCTTATACCCACTCCCTGAACCTTCTGACTGAAGCTTATTCGTGTAATACTTAAGCCAAACCCCATTCCTAAACCTTACTCGTCGAAGGGTAAGGACCAAACCTTATTCGCCTGATCTGTTTAATGTTTCGGCCCAAGCCTTATACCTTACTCGCTGAACCTTATGGCTGAAGCTTATTCGTGTAATACTTAAGCAAAACCCTATTCCTAAACCTTGTTTGTTGGAGGGTTTGGACCAAACGTTCTTTGTTTAAGATTTAGTGAAATTCAGTACGGCTTAGGGGAAACAATGAGCGAGCCTTTTCTCTACGCAATGCCTACAAAGTATAGGACTTGCCTGCTGCGGAAATGCAAAGAACATGTAGAATGACTACCCACAATGTGTTTGTGTATAGTGTGTATTTGTTGTATGAAAAGGAAGAATTTCTACCCACATCGTGCATGTATAAAAGGTGTATGTGTTGTATGAAAAAGTAGAATTTCTACTCGCATTGTGTAGGTATATAGGATGTATGTGTTGTATGAAAGGTAGAA